ATACATACATACATACATACATACATACATACATACATACATACATATTATCTTCTTACTATCCTGTTCCACTCTCTTGATTTGTTTACCTCCTTTTTTTCAGCAGAGTTACAATAGCACAATAGACCTTTATTAAAAAAAAAAAAAGAACATTACTGCTCCCAGGAGAAATGATTTTTTTTTTCAATCACAAAATTTCATTCCCTGAATACTTACCTAGTTTTTTCTTGTTTGTTTGGTGTTCGGAGATGCCCCATTGCCCGCTTTTTTTTCTGTTCACCTACTAGAGAAAGTTTTCACACACATCCCCAGATTTTAAATAGCCCATTTTAGACTATTTATCCTGATTTGACCCTAAAGGTTCCTGTCTCTAATTCTGGAAAGCCTTTGTGCCCTGGAGGAAAGTAACTGTGTTACTTTCTGCTTCTTATCCATGAGAATTTGACAGAGACACTATTTTCTGTGAACTCCATGATATATCTGGATGTTCATTGCTAATAATTAGACTCAAATCTTAGCCTTCTGCAATGTTTAAATAAATAAACAGATGCATGATTATATCTCAGCTTGGAAACAATTATTCACCTTCATATATTTTCTTTAGGTCACCATGCCATATTGGACTGACTTATGTTACACACTGGAAATTGGGCATGGCACAATTGAGGTCAGAAATCCTGGATCTGTGTTTTAAGACAACTTTGGATAGAACTGGTCAATTTGGCAGTAAATTCTGAATTATTAGATTTAAGAAGTGGCAAAACATGAAATGAACTGAAATTTTTTTTCCAGACCTTACTTCAGTTTATCTAATGTTGCTTTTTTTCATCCATGCATCTCCACAAGACACACGGTGTCACCATTGCAGTACAAAACTTCTACAGAACTGAGACTTGCAAACCTGAATACTTTGAATACTTTTGAATACTTTGTCATGAAACATAGCTTGAAAAAAGTATCCTTTAATTCAAAATCCATATTGGAGAGTCCGCTATTTGTAGATTTTTCTTTGAAATTCCCCCCACACACACCCCAGCAAATTCAGAGAAATGTACAATCCAAAAGATTATACTACATTTATATTCCATCTTTATTTTATACAGCTCAGGATGGTGTACATAATACTTCTGCTACCTAATTTTCCAGACAAAAAAATCTGAGGTGGGTTGAACTGAGAAAGAGAAACAGGCCCCAAATCATTCAACTGGCTTTCATGCAAAGGAAAGACTAGAACTCAGTGTTTGCATTGCTAGGCCATCACCTTCCCCACTATGTGAAACTGTCTGTATTAAAGGTAATTATATCCCCAACAGCCCATTAGAACATAAAATAAAGGCAGGGCAGATTATCAGGGTTTCATAAAGATGGAATTCCTCAAAATATCTCTTTGCAGAAGCTTAAGGAAATGAATGAAAGTCTTTGAAAGAAGTAATAGCAAAATCCAAATTCATGGAAATGAAATCAGTTTAATTGACAGAAATATTTAAAAAATCCTGGTAGGAAATGCAGAGCTGCTGACGGGACCCAACATAATAAGGAAAAAGAAATATAAGAAAACAAGGCGTGAAATCTTGTGTAAAGATGAATAATAATTTATAGAAGCTGCGACAGAATAAAAATGCATGTTGTTTTATGTTCTGTGTAACTTTCAACAAAAGTATAATTAGACTAACAAAATATTAGTAGGTGGGTTAAAAAGTGATAACTAATGTTGGGAATTCAAACAAGTCTACCTTACATAGAAGACCTTTAAGAACTAGTGTTACTAACCATTGGCCTTTTTGGCTGAGGCTGATAGGAAATCAATAGGCAAAGGGCCACAGTTCCTTTAGTTCTGAGATTCAGCCAATATTAAAGCATAGAATATTATAAAGGCATAGTTGGGAAAAACTTATTCCATTCACACACACACACACACAAATGCCACATATGTTAGTTCATTAATCCATCTTTTCTTTTATGTACACTGAGAGCATACGCACCAGGACAAATTCCTTATGTATCCAATCACATTTGGCCAATAAAGAATTCTATTCTATTCTATTCTATTCTATTCTATTCTATTCTATTCTAT